TGCTCTGCGCCCACTCACCTCCACCTAGTGGAGACCAAGGTTCCCCAGAGCCGGTCGATATCGCGGACAGAGACGAAGTCCCAATGCCCGCTCTCCTGGATGAGGACGGCTAAGAGAGCCCACGGAGACTGTGCACTCCACGATGGGAGGGGCAGACACGTAAGGACTCATCCACATCCTGGCCACGGACTCGAACGTGGTGCCCGTTCATTTCATCTGCCCAGCAAACACTTACTGAGTGCCCACGGCGTGCTCTCGGCTAGGCGTGGGTACTAGCCAGGCCACTAAAGAGAGACGGAAATCAGGGCCCAAGGAACAAAAACTGAGCAGAAGGACCCCCAAACCTGGGCACAAGTCAGAGGATGAAATGTACTCCAAGCTTCCAGAGACAAGGACAGGCACTAGCTAGGGTGCACTGTTTCCCTAAATCAGGAACTGCGTTCGGTCACGTACGGCAAGAAACTCAACTGCGGTGTGTTAGCCTCATTCTTCTCATCTCTTGGGGGACAACGAGCCCACGGGTTATCTGGATGCCCTTCAAGGACGCCACCTAGGATCCAGTTCCTGCTCTGCCGTCCTCACAGTCACAAGATGGTTGCTCTGCCTCAGACGTCGCATCTGTCTTCCAGGCAGGAGAAGGAGGTAAAAAGCAAAAGGCAGAAGGCGCGGCCAGCCGAATCTGTTCCTCTTTACCAGGAAGAAAAGCGAACAGAGCCACACAAGACCCCCTTCCCAGAAGCGTCATCTAGCAGCATACCCTAATGAGGCCCCACGGCTTGAACCGCCACCTTGGTGTGAGGGCGTCCACCTGCCGTGTAAGCATCTTAAGCAGGACTCCGCGTACGCCAGGCGGGTGGGTACAGAAGGGGCGTCACCGAGGAAGAGGGCGAGGCGGTGCTGGCCGGGCAGCCGCTCCTGCCGCTTCGAAGCGCACGTGGCCAGGGGTCACCAGCGCCATTTACCCGCTCGCTCACGGCAGCTCCCGCTCCCCCGCGACTTAACCAGGGCGCCCCAGACGCACCAGGGCGTCAGCGCTCTCGGGCTCCTTTGTTACTTCTTCATCCGAGACGAAAGCCCGCGTGCGGCCCGCATGCACACCGGGCACGAAGCCGGGGGCGGGAGGGCTCGCTTACCTTCTCGCGCGCGCCTGGGGCTGCCTTCTGCCCCGGCAGGAGCGACCTGTCCACACGGAGGGGACAGGGCGGCTATTTTCCACGTCCTCGTCCAGAGAAGGGTACTCGTGGCCGCGCCGATCACATCGTGGCAAATGCTCGCTTGCTGACCGCAAACGCCTGCACTTGGACGGTCTGGGACCGTCCCGCCCTCTCCCGCCTGGTACGCAAAGGAGTCGCTCATCCCACGACGCGGCAGGTAGGGCGCCGGCAGCGGATGTCGCTGCTTGTCTCCCTGCGTCCACCCCTCCCTTCCTCCTTCCGAAAACAGAATCCCACTCGCTCCGAGGACACGGCTCTACCAGGTGGGGGATCGTAACAGCGCTAACCCAGATACGGCGACACAGCCCTCTCCTTCCCAGCGTCCCCACCCCTCACGGCTGGGAGCGGCGGGTGACCAAGCTCCAGCCGACCAGAACAGCGAGCCACCTGACAAAGTGCTTGCTTTCCCGGTACAGGGAAGGGATGCGGACGGTGCTACCCCCTCCTCGCTTCATCCTGCTCCAAACTCACGTGCGATGCCCGGAGCTGCAGCAGCCAGTTTACAACGATGAGGCAATAAACCGAACTGACAAAGTAAAGACGGCAGGGTTAAACCAGGCAAGTGATGACGCCGCTGATAAGCCGCCGCCCCAGCCCTCGACCACCTCTCTCCTCCTTCTGAACATCCTGAAATGATCTAAAATAGTAAACTGGAGTGACAGGCTGCGGTCCTCATGAAATTTCCGGTTTACGTAAGAGAGATGACTGAGCAGAGAACAGAAGTCCTCCGATGAGGGAGCAGAGTGTGGCCCGGGGTGCACACAACGGCCCCACGCTCACGCAGGAGGGGAACACAACGGCTCGTCATCGAAGCAGGCTCCTCTTTTCCGTGTCACTTGAGCCCGCTTCCCCTAGGTAAGGCCCAGACCCCTCCGGAGGTTTCTACACACACACCGCCTCCTTTCCAGCACCCGGAGGAGACAGGACCCGTGCGTCGTGGGTCCCTGCCACACATCCTGTCACCCTCCCATCCTCGGGCGGAGCCGCTCTGGGTTTTCCAGAACTCTGCCCGCCACAACAGAGCAATGCAGGTCACCGCATCAGCTGCGGCCTCCTCAGCAGGGCTGACCGTTAATTATTAACAAAGCAGAGAAAAAGACACCGGCTCGGCAACCGGCCCCCGCTCAACCAGGGCTCCCAGAACGTTCCATCTGGGCCCAGGGAGAAACCGCTTAACCAACCTACTGTGGGTATTACCATGCACCGGTGATGGCGGCCGTAGTGAACTACCCTGAAAACAAAACCGCAGCTAAGAGCCCATGTGACCACACGCATGTGCTTGCCGGAAAAAGCAGACACAGGAGACAGAACTCGGAGGAGATCTAGGGATCTGGGAACCAGCGGGGCACTCGTCCCACAGCACGTTCCGCTGGTCCAAAGGTCCACAGTACCATAGTATTTGCTATCCTATTGGGGAAAACTATTTTAAGCCTAATTAGCATCAAATTTTTAGAACGGAAATGCTTTTCATTTAGACATAAAACAAAATGCCACGACATTTCTTCCATCCACTTATCATAAATAAGTTAATTACCATGTAACAAATCGCTCCTTCTGGAATCTGGAGGTTCGGGGCTGCTGGTAAGCTGACTCAGGCGGAGAAGGAGCCACCGAGCAGTCGTTAATGGCTTACGGCGTACTTACAATAAAATGGGGACGCCGTGAAGCTTTGCTCGTCAAATGAAGGTTAAGCTCTCTCCGTTGGAGTAACTCAATTATAAGGAGTCATTATCAGCTTAACCTGATTCCTACCAGAATAACAGAAGTGTTGTGCCATTATCTTATCTTGGACCCACACATCTTCACTGCAGTCTTGTCACTTGCAAAGTTTGTACACAGAGACATTTTTATCTGTCCTGGTTTGAATGTATGTCAGCGTTGGCTTTTGCTTCCGTATCTGCAACAATTATTTCTGAGATAGAAAACATCTCTCTGTCCCTGAGAACGGCATGGTGGAGGGGGACGGAGGCAGGTGCAGGAGAAGCAGGGGGGCTCCAGCCTACCCCAGAGGAGGGGAGGAGCAGGCCCCAGTGACTGGGACACAGCTCCCCTCAACCTGGGCTGCGCTGGGCCACATCTCAGGTACAAGTAAGGGCCCAGAAAATGAGTCCCGCATCCTCAAAGCCTGTCTGCTGGTCCCAGTTCGCCCACCATGGTGGGCTCTTCGCCCCACGCTGGGTAAAAACCATCTGGGCTCACGGGCCAGGCCAACATTCAGCCAGCGATTGTGACTTCCCCACCACGCAGGCCAAGAGCGGAGGGGCCAGCTCTCCACCAGGGGGGAGACCAGACGCCTATTAGAAATCCCACGTTTCATCATAAGAGGTCTGAGATTCTGCCACTCTTCTGTGGTAGGTAGTACTTATTACTAAAACAGAGGCCTTTTTTCTGAAATTCCAAGATCCCATCAGGTGTGGCTCCTTGCCCAGAGAGGCACAAGAAGCCAGCTTCCAGATCAGCACACGGGGGCACCACAGCGTCCCTGTTGTGTGCAACAGGACAATGCACTGAGAGTAGAAGAATGTTCCAGGCCTTCCCTGAGGGCACACAGGGATGCTCGGGAGACCAATCCATCCTGAAAGAGGGTCTACCCTCTCGAATTCTGAAATGACACGCACGGCACATTCACAGAGCATCTCCTAAGGCTCTCACCACATATGCCTACTCATGCAACACGCCCATTCTGCTTCCGGGCAACTGCCGCGGATTTTTGGGGGGAGGGAGGGTGGGTAATCCATGGAAAGGCTCCACAGATGATGCCCTTAGCAGGTCAACGCAGATGACAACAAACAGGTGAGGGAAGCTGCACTCAGCCCCAAATAAAAATCCCGTTCACGTAACCAAGAACAAACAAGATAAGTGACCGAGCTCTGTCCCCGAGGAAGAGAATCCGAAAAACCCCCACCACCGCCCCCCTAAGGAGCTGCTGTCAGCTCTTGAGAATCTGAGATTCCCTGAAACCCAAAGCTGGGGAGAAAGTCAGCGCTATGAGGATTATTTAGTCGTGAGTGCTGAAATTTAGCTCTGAAGCCTTATCCAAAGTTTGCTCCCTCCGTCACTCCGAAACCGGCTAAAAGCTGCTGCTTCTGGGAAGGCGCTCAGCCACGGTGTTCGCGGTAGGACTTGGAAACCTCACAAGGAAGGCCTGATTGATCTCCCCTCCCGTACACATGGGAAGTTTAATTAGTTTGTCTCGAAAGGGAAACGGATCAACATACAGAATGATCTCCTGTCTCTTGACTTTTGAAGCTGCCTCTGACGTTCCCATCACAAACGCGGATATAATCCTACAATTACGATAAAGCTAATTGGTAGTTCCCTCCTGCATGTGTGTTTTCGTGTTATCAGTGGGGTAGTAATGAAAATGAATACCACATTTGTGAACAGAACGTCTGTGGGTTTATTTACCGCATTTCCAACAACATCGTCTGCTTTATCATGCATTTCAAAGCAGGGATAATTTAAGAATCCAGAATTTCATACATAAAAATACTTAGCAAGAAAGTCTCTCTCTCTCTGCACATTATTTGGGTGACGTTACATCCGAATTCCAATTTGTTGCCCAGGAAATGATTCACCTCGCTCAAAAATGACAGGCATTCTGAATCATTCACCTGGGATGCAAAATGCCTTTGAGGTCCACGGAGGGACACCTCATTGACCTCACAACCATCATTTGGAAGACAGCCTGCCTCAAAGACAGCCCCGACCCGCCTTTTCCACAGAAAGGTCTCCCCAGTCCAGAACACAATGTGCAATTTCTTCCCACCCCCCACGCCCCCCTACCTTTGAGAAGCTTCTCTCCTTCCAGAATATTCTCCGAGATTAGTGCCGTGTAGTCTTCTTCAGAGAATCCAGCCTTGCAGGTCTCCCGGGCTGTAAGATCCCCATTATGGGCCTGAGAACAGAAAGAAAAGAGGTCGGGACAAATGCGAAGTTGGCAGAAATTTAATCCAACCCCTTGTTTCTCAGTGGCTGCCGCAGGCAGGGTCTGGCCTCTGGCTATGACAGAACCACCTGAGCCACAGCCTTCCCCCCTAAGCTCCCCTGCTTCCGTGCTCTCAGGGACTCACCTGGTCCAACAGCACCCTCCTGGGGGGATTCCGTCCCAGACCCCACGGAAGCCCGGAACCGCCCAGCACCCAACCCTGTATAAAGTCGGTATAAACCGCTTTTTCCTCGACACACACCCCCCCACCCCCGTGGAGCGCGGTTTATAAACCGGCGCAGTGGGAGATTAACAATAACGATGAAACAGAACACTTGTGACGTGTCCTGTGACTGTGGTCTCTCTCCGGGGCACCTTCTTGTCCTGGGCTCACCCTCCTCGTGCCCAGGTGACGGAGATGCCCTGCGCCATGGGATGGACGTCACGTGAAGGACGCGGCACGTGACGCAGCGCCAGGCTGCACCTGACCTTCTGACCTCGAAATAAGGGAGGTCCTCTGTCAAGGCCGGAAGGGGCGGGAGCCCAGCCAGCCGGTGAGGGGTAACTGCTGGCTCGGCCTGGGCACGGAGGTGCAGGTGGGGAGAATGGCTCGGCCTGGGCACGGGGGTGCAGGCGGGGAGGAGGGCCAGAGGATGGCAGGGCTGCGGGCCTCGGAGGGCCTCTCTGCCCCTCAAGAGGAAGCGTCTGAGGAGCTCAAGACAGCCGAGGAAGCCACAGAGAGGAGGGAGGTGCAGCCAGCCGAGGCCCTCTCGGCCACCGCCCCTCGGGGCCCCAGAGCTGGGCTTCTGTCTTCTCTGTGGGTCCCCAGGGAGGGAGGCGGCGGCAGAGCAAGAGAGGAGGTCCTCCCAGAGGCGGCTCAGCGCTGGGCAAGGAGGGAGGCTCCTGACGACGGTTCCACCCTCCAGCTCCTGGCACTTCCACTGGCTGACACTTATCCTGCCTGCGGCATCTCAGCCCAAATGGGCGAGAGGCCGTCTGACTGACCTGAAAGGGTGGGTGTCGGGGTCTTGCCTCCAGCGGGAGGGGGCTGGGGACGAGCGGAGCCAGGCTGGTGGGGGCAGCAGGTCAGCCTCGAGCGAGGGGAACTGTCGAAGAGATTAGCGCGGCGCGGCAGGATCGCTGGGCCGAGACGTCGAGCGCAGCGCCCCTCTCCCCGGCCAGTGCTCTGCCGGCAGCAGGGCGCAGCCCTTTGTCGTGGCTTTCATAAATAGCTGAACTGCGCTCTGCCATGCCTGCTCCAGACCCGGCGCGCCGTTGCCGCCGCCCGCCCGCCGGGCCCCGGCACCGCGCCGCCGGCCTGGACGCGGACGCCTCCCACAAAGCCAAGGGAGAGCGAGGGGCGGGCTCGTTCCTGGGAAGTCTGTCATGGCCTGCCCTCGGGAACCGAGCTCCACAGAGTGGGGGGGCATCCTCTGCTCAAAGTTTCTCACTGCCCGGGCGAGGGAGAGCGCAGTCGAGCGCCCTGCACTGAGCGGGCCTGGGGGCGCTGCACTTATATTTCGGAGGCTGCACCGCGCTGCCCGGAGGAGCAGCGAGGCCGATCGGCCACGAGAGGGGTCTGCAACTCCCGCGGCCCCGCCGCCTCCCCAGGGCGCTCACCCGGCGCAGCCCCGCATCGCCGCCCCTGCCTGCACCCGCCGCACAGCCGGTCTGGGGCCGATTGCAGGACTTTCGGGAGGGAGGCGGGTGCCCGGACCGCGTCCGGGCACGTCACCCCGCCTGACTTCCCGGCCTGCCTGAGCGGCGAGGGCCCTGCCGGACACCGGCTCCAGCTGCGCCTGGGGGACTCTGGCGAAGGTGCCCCTGCGCGGTCCACATCCGCCGCCCACCTGCAGCCGCGGTCTGGGTCAGCACCCGGAAAGCCCAGCACGGAGGAGGCGCCGCGCCGCGAGACCCCGGCCCCGCACGGGGCGGCGAGACCGGGTGTCCCCAGCACCCTGGTTCTTCTCGCCTGCCGCCGCCCCCGCCCGCAGTCCCGGCCCGGGCTGGCTCACAACCCGGAGGCGCGCGCTCCCGGGCAGATGAGGCGCGCCGGTTCGCCAGCGGGCAGCCTGCCCAGGCGCGGAGAGTTTGATTCGAGCGGTGGCCGCGGACCTGGGGCGGCCGAGGGATGCTGTCCCGCTTCGGGCAGAGCTCTCTGGCCTCCACCCAATCTGCACTGCACTGCGCTCCGCACCACGGTTCGCCTTGCCCCTGAATGGCCTCCCCCGTCTTCTGCCGACTGCGGGCGGCTTCGCGAGCGCGGAGCCTCTGATGCAGCGCGGGTGCGCGCGGCGGGGCGCCTGAGAGCCCCTCCGGCGAGTGCGCGCGCCCCGCCGGCTCCGGGCGGCCCCGCGGTGCCCGGGGTCGAGCAGCTGACGCCAGGCGGCACCCACCGGAGCGCGCCGGAGAGCGAGAGCAGGCACGAGGAGCACGCTGGAGCCCGCGGTCATTCTTCCGTCAGTGTTGCGCCCCGGCGCCCGCCCGGAGCCCGGTGCCCGGAGCCCGTTCCCGGCCGCTGCCGCCGCTGCTGCCGCTGCCGCCCCGATCGCGCAGCTCCGATGGCTGCCGCCGCCGCCGCCGCTCGATCGGGGTCTCATGGCCTCCAGCCCGGCCGCGCCGCCGCGATCGCCGCCCGGTCTGGAGCCAGGCTGTTTGCCGGCGGCTCCTCGGCTGGCGGCGTGCGTCCGCCGGGTCTCGCAGCTGCCCGCGCCTGTTCAAGTGCGCCCGAACTGTAGGTGAAGGCAAGTGGCCGCCCCGCCGAGGCCCCGCCCCGAGCCCGGCTCCCTGCGCTCGCTGTTTTGGCCTGACGCGGGCCTTGGGGCGCTGCGCCTCGCGCCGCGCCTGCGCTTCCGGCGCCTCTCCCTCGGGCCCCCCCGCCCCACGGCGGGGCGCCTGAGCCTGGTCGGGGGAGGGAGGGACTGAGGGACTGAAGGAGGTACAGAGTTCCCCTGCCCCACCCCCACATATTCCCTGGGCGCCCCCCTCTGGATCGGGAGCCCCTGGCTGCCAGGCCAACTTCCTGCCCGGCTCATTGCGGGAGTGGGCGCTCCCCTTCTGTTCTCCACGTTTAGGGTGTCTTCGCACCGACTCCCGCGGCCCGGGCCCACCTCACGAGGGGGCCTTGCACCTACGCTCGGCGGGCAGGAGTCAGCCCCACCCGGCGGGCCGTAGCGAGGGCGCGGCGCGGATGGTTGTATTTGGCAGGCTGTGCTGACCCTCCAGCGCAGTGGTGAGCCCTTGCCGCGCCAGCCCCTAAGGACTGGGGACGGGACTGATTCCTGGTCGTGCATCAAAACACGCTAAGAAAATTCGAGAGGCCGGGAAAGAAATGAGAGGCCCCGGGAAAGAAAAGGAAGAAATTTTCCGACAGGAGAGCTGTGTCAGGAATGTCCGCGCCGCCTGTCCAGGCCGGTTGCTATGCTTGGGTTTAAGATCAGAGCCGGGTGGGGGGGACGACACTTCTTTCAGGGATCCTCGAGTGAAAATATGTGCGGCTTGGAAAGTGAGTAAATGCCTCTTGCACGTTTCCTTTTGGCTTGGAGATTGAGAGAAAGTGGTTTTGTTTGCTCAGATATTTGAAATTTCTTTGTCTTGGTTTGGAGAAGCTCTGTGTCCAGAATACATTAGTTCTGGTTTAAGAAATGCGCCGCAAAGGAGGGAGAAGAGGACTGAGTGCAAGTGTGGAGCCCCAAGGTCAGAGCCAACTTGGGCAGGTGCGCGAAGAGCTGAAGAGCCGCAGAACCGCCTTTTCTTCTCCCGCAGGGGCCCTCCCACCTGGGCAGGGCGGTCTGTTGGTTAGTGCGCTGCACGTTTCAGACCCCAGGTGATCAGATAAGCCAGGAGGAGCCGGGTTAGGCCTAGATGCCGCCCCACAAGGTGGCGTGCATTTTCTCGCCCTGCAAGCGTGTGCAGCTAGTAAAGGAGACGGCACATCTGTACCAGCCTGCCACTGAACCTCGCCCTGCATCTGGGCACATTCCTAACCTGATGGGGAACGAACATCCCCGAACGTGCCTGGTTTATCAGGGTCACACTTGCACAGAGGTCCTGCGTCACCAGTGAGGTTTCAGGGATAAATCTACCGGAAATCCACACGGGGGGGGGGGGGTTGCATTCCTCGGCCATGTGCTCACACCTCTGAAAGACCCCTGCTCCTGCCCCCCCCCCCAATGTACCCCGTCACTGCCTAGAGAGCCCACACAGGCCGTCCTGAAATGTGCATCCCGGGCCCTGCCTTTGTCTCTGGAAGACCAGAGCTTGATAACAAGTGTTCCTCAGGGGACGAGTTCCAGAGCAGAGCATTTGCTCTCCTGGCTCTGTAACCCACTGGATTGCAAACAGGCATGGCCACTTGAACTGCAAGAACGGGGGTGTTGGGTGGGGGTCCCGAGGCCCAAACACTGGAGGATATGCCGGCCACTGAGCGCCTGGGAGTCATGAGCCACCAGAGCTGCCTCCACTTGCAGATGGGGTATGCGCATCCTGAGAATACCCGCCTTGAGTCAGGCACAGACGGACTGACGAGCTTCGTGGCAATTAACTCCTGGGGTTGTCCTCACTCCGTAACTGGGCTCTGTTCACACCCCCATCCCACGGCGGGGCGAGGGGACTTAGAGAGATGCTTCCGGCTAGCCCAGGCCCCGCAACCCCCACAGCGCTTCCCCAACTCGTTTGATGGAGGCAGCCCTTCCACACGGCGTCTGATGTCTTATGGGAACTCACATTTTCAGGAAGACAGCTTCAGAGGCCCTGCAGTAGCTGGTGTGAGTCCAGTAGAGAGCATTGGTTTATCAGGCTTGCCGCGAACGAAGCAGTGAGGATACATTAAGAGAGGAAGGAAAACTGTGATCTAAGATACACGGCAGTGGAGTGAGTCTAAAGGATGGTCTCCAGCCAGGTCGCTTGAAGTGTGACCCCAGACCAGCAGCACCAACAGCCCTTGGGAGCTCGTTTGAAATGCAGAACCTTGGGCCACGCTCCAGATCCACCACCTAGGGATCTGCGTGGTAACCACCTCCCCTTCCTCTCTGCCTCGGCCCTCAGATCATCTGCTTCAGAATCCGAGAGAGGCTCGTGAGAAGCTCAGCTCCTGGGCCCCACCTCCCAGCTGGGGCTTTGGGGATCGGGGCCTGGGACCCGGCCCCTTGCCAGCCTCTTGGGTCAGTGTTCATGTACCCTAGCATTTGAGAACCACCGGCCGATCCCGCAGGTAAATAAGCTTGTCCTGGGAGCCTCATCAAAATGCTACTTCCTGGGCCCTGCCTTGGATCTACTGAAGCCGGACAGCTGGGGGGCAGAGCCTGGGAATCAGCAGGAGGAAGTTGGCCAAACCCTGTCCCAGGGGCCCTGAGGGAGGACTGCAGCCAGCCCTGCTCTGCCTGACCTCCATCCTTCCTCTGGGGGCTCCAGCCCACCTGCAGGAGAAGCTGTGCTCTCTACCTGCCAGATAAAGAACCCTAGAGAAAAGTGGGCTTTTGTTTCCAAGAGAGATTAGGAAAACTCATTTGGGGGGGGGGGTAGCATGTGAGTGACTGCTTCCTCTCGACACCTGTAAACTGTTGACTGTAATTGGTCCACAGATGTTTGCTGAGCACCCTTGCTGAGGTGGGTCTGGGAAGGGGCTCGTCTTTAGAAGCAAATCAGATGCTTGTGTCAGGGCCGCGTTTCCCCGCGTTTTTGTCTGCTGCTGATTTGCTTTTCCCCAGTTACCGTTATTTTCGAGGCACGTCAGTGTTAGATAAAAGCTGTTTTGTAAAGAAAGCAGGGTCATGCTATTAAAAGGTGTGTTCCTAGAATAGGACGGAACCCTTGTGGGCAGCTGAAGGTATTCCAGGCACAGTAGAAGTGAATGAAACAATGCCGACACCCAGCCCGAGAAACCCTTCCTGCGCGGAGCAGAGAACAATCCTGAGGGAAAAAGCAGGCGAGAGACGGGCTGGGACACAAAGCTCTGTGCTTCAGTTCCAGCGACGCTCAGCCACGAAGCCCGTTGCCTGTCCCTGTTGTCACCAACATCATCATGGCTCCCTTTTAGCATTTTCTGATATTTACTGTGTACCAGACCTTGCCCCAAAGGTTGTGAATCATCATCTCACGTCCAAAAGACGCAGCGGTTCCTGCGGACGGAAGGCGGGCCCGAGCTGGCGTGTGGCCAGGCTGTGAGGCTGCACTGGGCAGCGTGACTGAGAACCTGGGGGCCACCTCCAGACTCTGCTGCAGAAGCCTAGGAGGAAAGCTACAACTGCCCCTGCCCAGCCCGCACCCACCTCCTTCCTTTTCCAGCCTTCCCCAGGTCAGGCCGGCCCACCCCCCGCCCCACCCAGGAGCCTGACCTCCGACCCCACCAGGCTGGCGCATCCCTCCCGGCTCCTGTGTGTCTGCCCTCCTGCCCTCTGCCAGGACACCGTCAGCCTTGGGGGAGGTGGCGCTGCTCTGTCACTCACATCTCCCTCTCTTCGGGGTCAGCACCTGGCTTTGGCTGCTCTGGGACTTCCTGCACATGTCCGTCTTCTCACTGTCACACCGCCCTGGCACTGTGCTCTGCACGCTTTCCCTGGGACACTCGGAGAGCCTTGCGGGCAGCGGTGTAGTATTCACCCCCCTCCACGGAGCCCGGTGTCCAGTGGGCGGACGGGCAGGGCCACGGCAACAGTGGTGGCCGCCAGGGCAGATCCCATGACCGTCTGGGCTGCACCCCGCACCCCTCCCGGACCCAGGGCAGAACACTGAGGAGCCTGACCCGGAACCCGGGGCTGCCTGAGTCCGGACCCACACCCTCGCCTGAGCCAGTGCCCCCAAGCACGGGTCCCGCCCGTGCTCTCAGGGCCACTGCTCCTCTGGGGCTGGGGTTGGGGACAGGGGCTAAGTAGGAGAGCAGCTGGGAAGGGAAAGGGATCAGGACAGCACAGTGTAAGGGCGCAGCTGTCCGCGGCCTGGGACCTGCTGGAGGAAGAGGTGCGTCCCGGCCACGGGAGGGGAAGGGCTGCCTCGGGACCCCAGCAGTTCTTTTCTGTGCTCATTTGTTTCCTGTCTGCTGTAGGAAGAGGGGGAGCTCCGGTGCTGGGAGCAGGGACACATGTCACCAGTAACAGAGTGCTCACTCACGACCTTGCATGGTGTCGACTTGTCGGCTGCGTTTTAGAAGCAGCTGACAAAGGAGGAAGGGAGGTCAGGTGACCTCGGCTGACGCGGGCAGGCTGGTGAATGTCAGCGACAGAGCCGCTGCGCACCCGTCCGTGCGTCCCCGGGATGCCCGGGAACGTGGGTGCCCCGCGCCCCTGCTCCCTGGCACCTCCTAAGCTGGGACGGAGCTGTGCCCGTCCGTCTCTTGGGTGCCCTGCATCCCCGGGTGGGATCAGGGAAGTGAGTGCGTTTTTTATCCATTTACTTTCTCCTTGTCTGGTGGTCCTTCTCCCGAATCGTATTGCACGTGTGTCTTCTCCCCTCTACC